TTTGCAGATCCTTTGATGTTCCATCTTTTGGTGGAGAAAAATATTTTATCACCTTTATTGATGATTTTTCATGTTATGAATTTATTTATTTTTTGAAACAAAAATCTCAAGCAACGGACACTCTCAAAGGGTATGTTAATGAGGTTGAAAGACAATTAGATAGGAAAGTGAAAATCATTAGGTCAGATAGAGGTGGTGAATATTATGGAAAGTATAACGAATCAAGACAATGTCCAGGTCCATTTGCAAAATTCTTTGAAGAACATGGCATATGTGCACATTATACTATGCCAGGAACACCTCAACAAAATGGTATTGCAGAAAGGCGTAATCGAACACTTATGGATATGATTAAGAGTATGATGAGTAATTCCGCATTACCCAAATCATTGTGGATGTATGCTCTTATAACCGTTGTATATTTATTGAACAAGATTCCTAGTAAGACAATTTCAAAGACCCCTGTTGAACTATGGACTGGAAGAAAGCCTAGTTTAAGACACCTGCATGTTTGGGGTTGTCAAGCGCAAACTAGAGTTTATAATCCACATGAAAAGAATTTAGATTCTCGAACTGTAAGTGGTTAATTTATTGGTTATCCAGAGATATATAAAGGGTATAAGTTTTACTGTCCAAATCATAGTTCGAGAATTGTTGAAACTGGTAATGTAAAATTCATTGAGAATGATGAAGTTAGTAGGAGTGTTGAACGACAAAGTGTGAAAATTAATGAGGTAAGGGTAAATATTTCATTACCCATGAATGTACCTACTTCCGCACCAATAACAAATGTTGTTCCTCTTATTGAATAACACTTTAACAATGTTTAACAACATTTGGGTGAAACACTTCAAGATGAAACTAACTCACAAGTATCTGACGCAAATGAACCACAGACAGTGTCATTAAGAAAATCTTAAAGAGAAAGAAAATAGATTATTTCATATGATTATGTGATTTATTTGCAAAAGTCAGATTTTGATATTGAAATTAATAAAGATATTTCATTTTCATAGGAAATAGAAAGCACTGAATCTGATAAATGGATTGATGCCATGAATAAAGAGTTAAAATCCATGAAATACAACAAAGTTTGGAACTTCGTTCAATAACCAGAATGTTCTAAAAGAATCGATTGGAGATGGGTCTTCAAGACCAAACATGATTCAAATAGTAATATTGAACGATATAAATCCAGACTTGTTGCCAAGGGATACACTCAAAAAGGAGTCATTGATTATAAAGAGACTTTTTCACCGGTCTCAAAGAAAGACTCATTAAGAATTGTTTTGGCTTTGGTAGCTCATTATGATTTAGAGTTACATCAAATGGATGTGAAAACTATCTTTCTTAATGGAGACCTCAAGGAGGATGTTTATATGGACCAAACAGAGGGTTTCAAAATAAAAAAAAAGAGCAAATGGTGTGTAAGCTAAAGAAATCAATATATGGATTCAAACAAGCCTCACGACAATGGTATATAAAGTTTAATGATACCATAACATCTTTTGAATTTAAGGACATTACCATTGATCGGTGTATATACCAATAGATCAGTGGGAGTAAGTTTATATTTTTAGTCCTGTATGTTGATGGCATTTTACTTGCTGCTAATGATTTAGGCATATTGCGTGAGATGAAAGACTTTCTCTCTATGAACTTTGAAATGAAAGATATGGGTGAGGCAGCCTATGTGATAGGGATAGAAATATTTCGTGATAGATCACAAGGATTATTGGGACTGTCTCAAAAAGGCTATATCGAAAGAGTTCTAGAGAGATTTAACATGAATAATTGTTCATCAGTAATAGTTCCTATTCAAAAGGGGACAAATTTAATTTCATGCAATGCCCAAAAAATGATGTAGAGCGAAAAGAAATGAAAACAATTTCTTACTCTTCTATTGTTGGAAGTTTGATGTATGTTCAAACTTGCACAAGACCATATATTAGTTTTGCGGTCGGAATGCTAGAAAGATATCAAAGTAACCCTGGAATTAATCACTGGAAAGCTACAAAGAAAGTTTGTGGCATGTTATGAAGCCACAATTCATGCATTATGGTTGTGGAACTTTATTTCAAGACTTAGGGTTGTCGACGCCATTATGAAGCGCTGAAAATTTATTGTGATAATGTTGCAGCAGTATACTTTTCGAAGAACGATAAGTACTCCAAATGTACCAAACATATGGAATTAAAATACTTTACTATCAAGGAAGAAGTTCAGAAACAAAGTGTGTTACTTGAAAATAATAAAATTGATCTTATGATTGCAAATTCATTAACAAAAGGCTTACAACCAAAGACATTTAAAGAACATGTTCAAAGAATGGGTCATGGTTGTACTTATGATTGATACATTTATGATATTTTTATACTCTGAGCTCAATAATGTGTTTCTGATATACATTAATGAATACCTTGTTTCTCATAATGGTGTATACATTATTGTTTTGAGATATTACAAGATAAGTCTCTATGAGACATTACTGTGGACCGTAATGTTATATGTTCTATAGCTTATGAACCTAGTATGATAAGTTGCTAATGTAGTAGTATATGGAAGGAAGTATGTAGCTTAAAATTTATGTACAACCGTCATAACTCTCATTAGTAGTTTGTTATATTGTGGTATGTATAATGAACATTATAGAAGAGATTTATTATATGTGCAACTAATGTTTACGAAATATTAATGTTATGTGGTCATTGGGCCAAATGGGAGTATGTAAGAATAATTTCTTACTTGTGACTCAAGTTTAATTGAAACCCAAGTAATACCATAAATAATATTTAATAAAGAATAGATTTCGTCCATACATTGGCTAGTTGATGGACGTACCAGATTAAGTCATAACCTCTATAAATTGGTCATCCCTCCACCCATTAGGGTTACCACATTTTCTCTACAATAATTTCATCGTTGACGGCTGTGGTAACGTAAGGCTAGGGCAAAGAGGTAGAAACCAATTTATAACTAACGCTTCCGCTTTTCTCTGCAATGATGTCTTCTGCATCAGGTATGTGCCCCTAACGTTCTCTATGTAAGATTATCGTGTTCAAGATCCTGATGTGTATTAAAGTATTTAATCTTACATGTAATTCATCTCTTTTGCAACGTTTTAATTTGTATCATTTGCATTACTCTTAATTAATAAAGGTAAAACTAATATCATGTTCTTACAACGAGACACACTTGTATTAAGTGTGTGTTTGGTATGGAGAAAAATATTTTCTGAAAAATATTTTCCAATTTTTCCATGTTTGGTTGGCTTAAATCAACTAAGGAAAATGACTTCCCTTCCAAAATTAAGGAAAACATTTTCCAAAACTCTATTTCATCCTTTAATTTATTTTTTCTTACCCTACCCATATCCCATAGCCGACCCTCCCCATTCAAAAAAAAAAATTAAAATTTTAAAATTTTTATTTTTTAAATTTCAGATATATTTTTATTTCTACCCCCAAACCGGCCCCCCTTTCCCCTCCATCAAACAAAAAAATAAAAAATTAGAAATTATTTTTGAAAAATGTTTCAAATTTTAAGATTTCTTTTTTAACTTCACCCAACCCCTATCCCTCCCCGCCAAAAAAAAACATTATTTTTGAAAAATATTTCAAATTTAATTTTTGTTTATTTTTTATGCCATTCTCCCCACCATCCACCCCCCCCCACAAAAAAAAAACATTGCTTTTGAAAAATATTTCAAATTTTTTTATTTTTTATTTTTTACGCCACTCACCTACCCCCACCCCAAAACAAGGCCACCCCTCCCCTCCTCCCCCGTGCCAGCCCCGATAATTGTCTTTTCAAAAAAACTATTTTTGAAAAATATTTCAAATTTAAAAAAAAATCTTTTTTTATGTCATCCCCACCTCGACCCCCCACCCATGCCATTTTCAAAAATAAATTAAGAAAAAATTATTTTTGGGAAATATTTCAAAATTAAAAAATCTTCATTTTTTACGCCATCCCTTACCCCTACCCCAACCCCCTATCTAAATTTTCTTTAAAAGAAATGTTTTTGAAAAATATTTCAATATTTTTTAAAAATCATTTTTTACCCCCCGCCCCCCTCCCCCACGACCCCGTCAAAAATGTTTTCCCCTCAGGGTCGGATTTTGGAACGGTCATCAGGGTCTTGTCCTAGTTTGGGTGTCGAGGTCGGGTCCTAGATCAATTATCGGGATTGATTTCGAATTTCAGATAAGATATTTTCCTAATGAGTATTCTTTAGTCTCAAGCTAAAAATAAAGGGTATTTTCTGAAAAAATATTTTTCATTCATCAACCAAACATTAAAAAATATTTTCTACTCACCAACCAAACATGGGAAAATAAGTTGGAAATCCACTTATTTTCCAAGAAAACATTTTTCTTTATACCAAACACACCCCAAAATGTAAGTGTCTATAGTGATAAAAAGGAGCAGACTTCAAAGTATCAAAAGTAACACTATGACTTGTACATGTTTACAGGGGCGGCTCTGCCTTATAAAAGTTAAGGCATGTGCCTTAGGCCCCCAATTTTGGAAGGCCTCAAATTTTTACCAAGAACAAATTATGTGTTATTTTTTTATTTAAAAATTAATTATTTATAATAAAAAGTATATATATATATATATATATATATTTATTATATTTCTTTTCTAACATTCACATTATTTATTTTTTTAAACTCATTTTTGCTTAAAGTTTGTCAACTTATTGCTTATAGAATTGTGCTAACAATTCATCTAATGATTGCTTTAATAAAATAATATTTTTCAACGTTAATTGATAAAATTTTACCTAAAACTAATCATTTTAAATAAAAAGAAGTACTCGAAAAAATCATTTATAAAAAAAATTAAGTAATAATTTGCATCTAAATAGTTATAAAAATAATTTTTAAAATAAATATATATGAAATTTGTTAGGCCTCAATTGAAATTTTGTTTTAGGCCCCCAATTACGTTGAGCCACCCCTGCATGTTTAGCAGATACAGATCATGTAGAAAACTTTTCTGCAAATTTCAACTATAAGTAATTTGTTTATACAGTGAATATTTAGCTCCAAGTCATATGATAGTACTCAAGTGTCAACGAAAGGCGTGGTCATAATCGTGGAAATGAAATTTTTTGTATATAAAATGAGATAACCATCTCGAGGCCACGAAGCATAGTAATGCAATGGTGACCAAAGAATACCTAGCCACCACTGACAATGTGCCCTGCTTTGCAGCAGCAACAATTCCGATCACACCAATGGAGGCGATCTGCAGTACAACTTCAAGAGCATTGAGTCCTTTATATGCAAGATTGCAACTTGTGCAATTCACTGTATGAGTCCAATACCTGAAAGGAAGTATAAACATATCATTTTTACTGTTTACTCAACCTCTTCGTCTCTAAAAGGTTCTCGAAAGTCTATCCTTACAGGTCCAAAACTTGTTTAAACTAGAATTAATGAAGAATCTATATTAGAAGTGTGGGAATGAATGAACAAACCTGTCCAGCAGCTGCTCCCTTGGAGGAGTTGGCGGGAGGTCCCCATTGTACTTTCCACGCCAATCAACTTGACCACCTGCATATTTGTTTAGCCACCTTCTAAAAGCAACAACAATGGCATCTGCCTTTGTTGGCACATAGCAAGCTTTATGCCAATTGTAAGAGCCAATTTCCTTTAGCTTGCGCTCCTTCATAACGGAAAACAAATTGAATGAGAAAGGAAGACTCGTCATATTGTAAAATGCAATGTTTCACCTAAAAGCACAAAGGCTTCACCGGAATCTAACTTACAAACAGTCATGCAATATGTTCCAATAGCGAGACTATGCTCAAGATTTATTGTTTGAAGTAAAAGGTGGTAAAATGAGCATTGAACTCCTAGGCTAACTTTTCGAAAAACACTAATTTTGAACAGGTTCAGGTCTGGATGAAGCCTCATGAAGTTGGAGAGCTGGAACACAATCCCGTACAACTATAGGTGTCGATTTGGATATATGTATGGTTTTTTTTTGTTGTTGTTCACTTCATTTGATTGTTAATAGCAAAGCACAAAGTAAAAAGACAACCACAACATAAATATTAACAGATGGGGAGTAAAGCCGCAGACAAGAAGAAATGGAGAAAGTGAAGAAAGGCATGGACTGGTAGAAACCAAAAGTTTTAGATAAAATAAATCCCACACATCCTCAGCTTTCCATCGAAAAGTATTTCAGTAGCTTTTAACACACACAACTTGAAACAAGTTAGAAGATTAGAGTCGGCAAAAAGCGGTTCACATGTCTAGAGTTACTTTGTTGAGTAGTATAGAAGAGTAGTGAAAATAGCATCAAATCATGATATTGCCTAAAAGTAACAGTTTGTATATAGAAGTTCCTATTGATAGTTCCAACTCCAGAAGCTATACCAGTTTAGATGGCAAAATGGGATCTCCACTCTTTAGTTTGACCATAAATCTAAAACTTTCAGTCTGGTAACTTAAAGGGGTTTCAACAAATTTAGCTCAACAGATATGCT